TGATATGATGGGAATCACCTCTCGTTATTTTATATTGTGTCTATCATGTATGTTAAGTCCCCCTAGTATGTTTTTTTTTAAAAACAGACCTTCTTTTGCAGCTCTTTGGTCACATTTTTGACAAACCCAATTTAATAGTAAAACCTTGTGCATTTCATCAGTAGATCAGGATATAGGGTTACCATACGTCCGGATTTCCCCGGACATGTCCGGCTTTTTGGTCCCCAAATCCCCGTCCGAGGGAATTGCCAAAAAGCCGAACATGTCCGGGGAAATGGGGAGGCTAGGATCTCCGAATTTGTGTGTGTGGGTCGCCCGCTGTGACATCATCTCGGTGTGACACTCGGCTCCTGCCCAGGGCATGCTGGGGGCTGTAGTCCGGCCGGGCCTCACGCTCCAGGGAGAGTCGGGAGAGGGGAGCGGCCGAGAACTACAACTCCCAGCGGCCCCTGCGACGCGACCAACCTGCCCCTGTGAAGCAGCAAGCCGTCGGGGGAGGGGGGGGCGGGCCCCTGTCCTTTGGGTGGGGGGTGTCTCTGGGCGCTGCTCAGCAGCAAGTGCTGGGCTGGGGGGCGCCCCCGGGGGGGTTGTGGATGCCAGCACGTTGCGGGGAGCCAGCACTGTCCGGATTTGCGTCCCCCTGGGGCTGGAGCTGCGCCCCCGGCCCTGGGCACCAGTCACGGGGCAAGCTGGAGGGGCCGGGGCGGCTGGCGAGCCTGGGGCATGAGAGGAGCTGCTAGTCAGGTTGAGCTGCCTGGAGGATGTTGTTGGGGTGTGTCTGCGGGGCAGGATCCCGCCCTTCCCCCTCCTGTGTCTCCGTTTACTTTCCTGAATGGAACTGGTGAAAATCAATCGGGCTGCTGAGTGCCCTGTGAGCCCTGTCCACAAACCATGACCCAGGGGAAACGTTACCCAGGTCTTGCACCTCCATATCTTGTGAGGCGAGGCAATGGTCAGGCTCCTAGCCACGCACCCCACTCGTGATACACAGCCATAAAAATACTTTATGCTTGTAGAGCTCCTTTAGCGTGAGCATCACAAAGCGGCAAGTGGAAAATCATAAATAGGTGGAAACAGATGGAGTGTAAGGCCTTGGTGGCGCAGGAAAATTCTCTCATTTTAACAGTACCAGTATAATGAAAGTGGGACAACTTCCTGGCATGGACTTGGGATCAAAGTGCTTGTACCAGTATAGAATTACATCCACACTTGGGGTTGTACTGGGATAACTAAATTGGTTTAAAAAAAACTATACCCCTAACCAAAATAGTTACCCTGGCACAAAATCTGTGTAGAGCAGGCCTTAGTGACTGGCCCAGGGTCACCGAATGAGGCAGTGGTATAGTCAGAAATGCAGTGCCAGAAGTCCTGTACACTAACAGCTGTCCTTCATTTTTAGCAAAATAGCTACTATTTTTTCCATTCTGTCCATCCAAAAATCTGCAATTCAGTGGATTTCAACTATATTAAGGCTCTCCGAATTTGGGGGGGGGGTGTCGCCCGCTGTGACATCATCTCGGTGCGAGTTGTTAGTTTTGCTGCAGCCACTTGCACTCGGGGTCCCCCGAGCGTCTTTTGCCGGAGCACTACCGGCTTCACGGTTTGCAAGTTACTGTACCAAATAACTAAACCAGAGAACGGTATTTAAGCGGTGAATGTGCTTTGACACAAATACTAAATAGAACCATGGTTACTACCTGGCCCTAGCAGAATCCCTTCTCCTTGACCATCATGATGCTATTCCTACCTCACCATTATTCCAAATAATCAATATTAATTTTCACTGCATTCTCCATGGTTTAGATTTATTTTCTTGTTTAGAATAAGGTCCCAATCTTAACTGCTTATTTGTAGCATTACCACCACCACCATCATCATCACTATTTGTATTACCATGGATTCTTAAATAAAAACATCTCATATAGATAACCTTGTCTCCCTCACTAGCAGCTTGTTTTGCTCACAGACTTTTCTCTGTTTCACCCTCACTTTGTAGGTTTTACAAACGTTTTACAGATTATGAAGCACTTAGCAACCCCCAACCAAGAACAGAGCGGGAGGGAGAAGGGGGAATGCGGGGTGCTCAGAGGAGGGGGCAGAGTTGGGGTGGGGACTTTGGGGAAGGGGTTGGAATGGGGGTGGGGAGGGGGCGGAGGCAGGGATGGGGAAGAGGCGGAGTTGGGGCGGGGCCAGAGTCCCCGTGGAGTGTCCTCTTTTTTCAGTGTTGAAATATGGTAACCCTAATCAGGAAGCACTTTACAAAGGAGGTCAGGATCCTTATCCCCATGTTACAAGTGGGGAAACTGAGGCCCGGAGCCTGGAAGTGACTCACCCAGCAGACCAGGGACAGAGCCACTGGAATAAAGGCCAGTATGCACTAGGCCACACTGCCTTTGCAGCTACGAATTGCTAGCTTTGGGACCTGTCTCCTCTGGAAAAAGCCAGACACTTTAACCACCAGTGTCAGATGCAGAGCAGACAGTACTGTTTGGGGTAGGTTTGCTGCCAGGCTGGGACAAGCACTTCTGCTGCGGCACCTTGGTAGTTAAAGTGTAATCCAGGAGAAGCTGCTCCCAGTGTCAACAACACCCACACAAGCTGTCGACCAGAGAAAAGGCTTTTGTTGGATAGTGATCTCCCTAGCGCCATAGAAATGAAAGCCACTAAACAATGCTCCAAGCTTTTATTACGCTTGCCTTCCTGGTTGGCACAACCTAGCGCAGCAAAGCATTTTCAAAGGGACTCACCCACAAGGGCGTCCGAGAACCTACATAAAATCCCCCCCCCTTTTTTTTTCTTAAAGAGCTCAGCAGCAGCCCCCCATGCTGTGCTAGGAAGAGAGGCAAACCTCAGGGGGAAGCACAACACAAGGGACTGGGTGGGAGGGCCAGGGGGAAGCCCCAGGCACAAGGGGAAGGAGCTGTGGGGGACAGCCAGGCACATGGGAACTTGGAGATCGCAAAGGAGAGGCACTAACTGGGAGGCTGGAGGAGATGTGGGAGCTGGGGAAAGGGCATAGAAGGCAGAGCAAAGCACTGGGTGGGTGAGGGAGACAGCAAGGCAGAGGATCTAATGGGGAGCAGCAGCCCATCGAAGCTAGCTGCCAAGGAGCTGGAAGAAGATGTAGAAAACCTACATCATGCAAATTAGAGAGAGAAACTCCCCTGGCCATGGGCAGAGTGGGTGTAAATCAAGGGAACGCAGCCAAGGGCCTGTCTGCACTAGAGAGATACAGGACTGATCTATCCTTTACCCCGTTCCCTCATATCCATACTCCAATTTGCATCAGTCAGCATTTTACTGCACATCCATCCATCCATCCAAGATCCCCCAGGTGCAAGCAGAGGGAAGCATCTGGTGCTATCGTGGTCCCATCATCAGGGCAAACGGCCCTTCCCCTTCCCACGCTGCTGTCCCATGGTCCCAGGCCATCGCAGAGCGGGCCTGTAAAATTACCCAGCATGCAGCATGCCCAGGAATTCTGGGAGTCGGGCAGTGCACCAAGGCACTAAGTGGTACCTTAACTCTGGGGTTGCACCCACAGCATAGGCACTCCCATAGCAGTCAGAGCAATTGGGCTGTCTCTGTCAAATGATGTTATGCTGATGGATTCCTCTATAAAGGCAGGGTCTGTGAGTAAGGGCGGTGGGGGGGTTGATCCAGTAAAGGCTTTGTCTACACTGGGGGATCTGCCCAGATTGCAGTCACCGGTGTCGCTGCATCAGTCCAAACCCTAAATGCAGAGTGACACACTATAAGGCACGGTTTGCGTCCATGCACCTAATCCCAGTTTGGAGTAAAAAACCCAAGCTTTCCTGGGACAACTCAACACCCGGCACCTCGGGCAGTAACTGATGTCAGTGCAGAGCTAAAACCACAATCTGCTACGGCTCAGACAAATGCTCTGTAGCTAGGGCTGTACTAGACTCATATCCTCTGGGTCAGCACAAAGGGGCACGTGTAACATACACTCACCCACCAGTGAGTTACACAAATATAGCCTTAAACCCCTTTCACATCCCCTCCGAATTCAGCCTGCGATCCCTGCCCCAAGGAGATGCCTCGGGCCACATTTGCCAAATCCCTCAGCCATGAGAAATAGGTGTGTGTGTCCTTTTTTGCATTTGTTGTTTTATCGGCTTGTTTTAGTTCCTCTCCCAAAGGGGAGTTGGGGGAAGGAAGTCTGGTGATGTGAACAAAGAATCCACACATAGGGTCTGGAACTCGGGGTGTGTGTGTGGTGGGGGGGGCTACCACCCCCAACCCCCCGGCTTGAAGTGGTTTCCAGCATACGCCGGGCTTACAGTTGGTTCGATGGCTCTTAGCTCCCCCCTGTACAAATTGTTCCCACGCCCCTGTCACAATAAGAGCGGCAGAGAGAGACTGGCGCTGTGCGTTAGTGGCCGAGGAGAAATGAGGCTTTTAAGGGTCTAGAGAACATGACACAAAATGTCAGCCAGAAAGTGAAAGCCACAAACTAACCCAAGGTTAAATATGGACAAAGTCAAACTCAACCCATGGGAGTCCAGAGTTCCCGGCTTCTCCTCCCCCAACTTTTGCTTCTGCCAGCCCCAGGCAGCAGCAACTAACTCAGATCTTTTTTTTCCTTCCTGCTCGGTGGCCTTGGTCAAATTTCAGAGCTAGGCAGGGGCCACTTTCCCCACTTCAGTGATTTGAAATACAAGAAGATACAAACGAATCCCGAGTTGAATCAAGTATCAGGGAGTAGCCGTGTTAGTCTGTAGCTACAAAAACAACAATGAGTCACCAGAATCAAGAGGCCCCCACCCATTTCCTGCCTCCTTCCCCCGCAGCCCTGCTCCCTGGGCTTGGACTTTGGCATTGGGTTAGTTACAGCCCCGCCCCGTCCTTGCTGCTGTTGCCGCCCCAGCACCACAGTGGAAGGTTCAAAAGCCTCCCTCCAGGGTCCCCTTGCTTACCTTAGCTTTGCTGTGAGCTGCAGTGACTGCATCAACTGAACTGTTTCCTGGTTGCAGTTGCTTTTCTCGGAATCAGGCGCAACCCACAGCTGTGGCCCGTCCCATGAGCTATCAAGCTAGCGTCTGTTTCCTGCTGAGTGCCCTCTGCTGGCCTGAGCTGAGTTCTCTCACTAGTTCTGCGTTTGGTCGCTTTTCGCTTGGGGGAAGGACACCCTGTCCCCCGGTTCGGAACCCACCCGAGCGCTCCGTCTCCTGTCCCCCGGTT